TTGGGCTGAAAGGTTTGTGACAATGTCGAGATGAACTGCACGGGTGGACAAGCAGGTCCAAATGCATCCCCATATCTTTCTTCTTATTCCATTGTCTTTGATTTCAATTGGTCCAAAATAATCCAATCCAGTGTACTGGAAAGGATATGCTCGTCGAGTTCTCATTGTTGGTAGGGGTGCCATGGGTGGAAGAGCGAAAGGTCCCCCGTCATACCGCTTACATACTACACATTGCTTAATGACTCTTTTCACCGCAGCTCTTCCTTTTGGGATCCAAAACTTGTTCCGAATCGTGCTGAGTGTTAGTTGTGTTCCATTATGGAGATTCCTTTTATGTGCATCATGGATGATCAGTTCTGTGATTCTACCTTTGGTTGGAATTAATATGGGAGCTTTAGTGCTCTGGTTGATATCTGCTGCTCCATATCGGCCTATACATCTTAGAGCTCCATTAATGCATTGAATCCCAAGCTGGTCTCTGAGGGAGTTCCTTGTGTTTTTCTCTATTGCTTCTTTTATATTCTGGAAGTATTTGTGTTGTGTGTGTGCGATGATGATTTGTTCGGCGATATCAAGTTCTTCGATGCTGAGTTGGGATCCTTGATTTTGTGATGGCTTTTTGAGAATGTGTAACCAACGGCGCATGTAAGCTACGACTCCTTTCAGTTTGCGCCATGAGTTTACTCGTGTGGCTATTCTTTCTATTATGTCCTCTGTGAGTACAGAAGGATTGTGGTTCTGGATGACTGCGTTAACTGTTAATCTGGTTTCTTCTTGTTGTGTGTCTTCACATGGTGGTTCCGAGTTTTCAGCTGCTTTTACTTCATTTTTTATGCTTGCTTGAAGTTGTGGCCAGTTCTTCTTTGGCAGTTTTAACCATTCGGGCCCATTCCACCAAATGGCGCTGCGAGCTAAGTTTTCGGGATCAGTGCCACGCGTTGCTATATCTGCTGGATTTTCATTGGTAGACACGTGACGATATTCAACGTTTTTTGATGCCTTAATTTCGCGAATGCGATTTGCCACAAATACTGGAAGTGCTCTTGTAGATGAGAGCCATGTTAGTACACATTTTGCATCACTCCAGATGCATTTACTTGTAACGACTAAACCTAATTCGTGTTCAACGAATTGTAGTGCTCGTGTACCAATTAGTGCAGCCATTAATTCCAATCTGGGAATGGTTAGTTCCCTGATGGGATTCAGTCGGTTTTTTGCGTAGATGAGTTGAACTTTCCCTTCATTATGGTTTTCGCCTTCTCTCAAGTAAATGCATGTTGCATATGCCAAATTCGAGGCATCAACAAAGGCATGCAGACTTACTGAGTGGTTATTATGATTCGTTAATATGAGGCGAGGAACGTTAAAGTTGGGATGTTGAGCCCAAAGTTTCATTAGATTTCTCCATTCGTTGGCTCGATAGTCTGGTAATACCTCGTCCCATTCCCACTTTTCTTTCCATAATTTTTGAAAGAATGATTTTCCGATCATAATTACAGGCGATATTAATCCTAGAGGATCGAAGTTACTGGATAATTGATTCAGAACTCTTCTTTTGGTTATTAGTTTTAATTCATTATCGCTTATCTGTCTTAATGTAATGTTTACTTGATCGTTGATGACGTCCCACTCATGTCCCAACATTTTAGATAAATTTCCTTGCGTTCGATCTTTCACATCAAACAGGTCATTTACTTGTGATTCATTTGATAGCCATTCACGTAAATTCATTGAAGCTTCATCAAAAACATTTTTTAACTTTCGGTACTTCCATTCAGCGTCCTCTACGGATCTCGCTCCGATCATGTTGTTGTCTACATATGCATTTGCTCTCACTTCATTGATTAAGTTTGTCATTCTTTTTCTGTTTTTGTCATCTGTGATGTCTTCCTTATGTAATGTCGTATCGAGATGATGTCTGATTGTCGCAGCT